TCCTTGCTGCTCCAAGCCGTCTAGGTGGTGGCAACCACCAAGAGTACCAAGGCCATAAGCAAGCGGTCCTCACCACCATAAGCCTTAGCCAAGGTGTGAGTGAGCTTAGTTACCTCCTTCTTGAGGTTCTCATTCTCAACCACTAGTGAGGTATCACAAGTGTGACCATCACTACTAGATGAGGTAGAAGTGGAAGTGCTACAAGAAGGGTTAGTTGGAGGAATAATGATAGGCATAGATAGTGATGTATCAATTAAATCACAAGTTAAACCTACATTGCAAGTTTCAACATGCTTCTTTTTAGTTTGCTCATCAAGCAAAGAAGAATGAGCTTTTTCAAGCTTTTTGTGAGCCTTGCAAAGCTTCTCATGGGCATCCTCTTGCCTCTCATGAGATGCATTGAGCTCATCAAAGGCTTGCTTAAGGGCTTTTACTTCCTTACGCAAGCTTTTGCATTCCTTTCTTGAGATGTTAAAGTGTTCTCTAGCATCTTCTAGCATGTCAATTAATTCATCTTTAGTAGGTTCATCATCATCATTATCACTATCACTATCATGTTCACTCTCACTTTCATCATCATAAGTTTGTACATTGGTGGCCTTAGCCATGAAGCATGATGGAGAGTCAAAGAGAGAAGGCTTCTCATTGATTGCTATGCTTGCAAGTGCCTTCTTCTTGGTGGTCTTGTTGTCATCACTATCATCATCATCACTTGTGGAAGCATCACTATCCCAAGTGACTACATATGAACCACCCTTCTTCTTTTTGAAGGACATCTTGTCCTTCTTATCTTTCTTTTCTTTCGACTCCTTCTTCTTGTTCTTGTTGTCATCATCTTTCTCACTATTGTATGGACATTTGCTAATAAGATGATCTTTGCTTCCACAATTGAAGCATCTCCTTGCCTCTTCCTTGCTCTTGGATGAATACTTCTTTCTTCTAGCTCGATAGCCCTTCTTTACCATGAACTTGCCAAACCTCTTGACAAAAAGAGCCATCCTCTCATCATCATCATCATCCCATGAATCATCATCCTCACTTGATGTTTCTTGCTTGGCTTTGCCCTTGGATGATGTGGCCTTGAAAGCCACGCTCTTCTTCTTGTCATCCTTCTTCTCATCTTTCTTTTCTTTCTTTTCTTCCTTCTCATCATCATCTCTATAGGCATCATCGGTCATGATATCTCCCAAGACTTGGTTTGGTGTCATTGTGTTCAAACCACTCCTTACTAGCAAGGTGACCAATATCTTGAATCTTGCGGGCAAACATCTCAAGAACTTATTTGAGAAGTCCTTGTCCTCTATGTTCTCACCGAGTGCCTTGAGATCATTGACAATCACTTCCATCCGGTGGAACATGTCCGGCACACTCTCATCTTCCTTCATTTTGAAGCTCGCAAACTTCTCTTTGAGAATATAAGCTTTTGCACCCTTCACGGCTTGAGTACCCTCAAAAGATTCTTCCAACTTCTTCCAAGCCTCATGTGCCATCTCAATATTCTTGATTTGCTCAAAAGTTCTTGCATCAATTGCATCATGAATGGCACTTAGAGCAATATCATTGTTTTGGAGAAGTACTTCTTCGGCGGCGGTGGGATTCTCCGGATCATCAATCTCAATTTTAGTTTCTACCACCTTCCACACCTTTCTATTGATTGACTTGATGTGTGTAGTCATCTTTGACTTCCAATATGAATAATTTGAGCCATCAAATTGGGGTGGCTTCTTGGTGTTGTTGATTTGAGCCATTTTACACCGAAGGTTGTTAAGCCTCAAATTAACAGTGACCTCGGCTCCGATACCACTTGAAAGGTCCTAATGGCTAGAGGGGGGGGGTGAATAGCCTAATAAAAATTTCTACAACAACACTTAACCAAATGGTTAGACGATTATGAGGCGAAGCGAGTGTTGCGCTAGCCTACTCAAAAATGCAAGCCACCTACCACAATTCTAGTTTAGATAGTGTCAATTCACACAAGAGCAATGACACTACCCTATGTTAGTGTGCTCTCAAAGGCTAACTAAAGAGCCACACCAACCAAGCATGCAAGCTCTCACAACTAGCTACACTAAAGAGCTTGTCAACTAGTTTGCGGTAAAGTAAAGAGAGTGATCAAGAGGGTTATACCGCCGTGTAGATGAATGAACCAATCAATCACGAAGATGAATAACAATGATGACCAATCATCTCGGAATCAATGATGAACACAATGATTTTTACCGAGGTTCACTTGCTTGCTGGCAAGCTAGTCCACGTTGTGGCGATTCACTCACTTGGAGGTTCACGCGCTGATTGGCATCACTCGCCAAACCCTCAATAGGGTGCCGCACAACCAACACAAGATGAGGATCACACAAGCCACAAGCAATTTACTAGAGTACCTTTTGGCGCTCCGCCGGGGAAAGGTCAAGAACCCCTCACAATCACCACGATCGAAGTCGGAGACAATCACCTCCTCCACTCAACGATCCTTGCTGCTCCAAGCCGTCTAGGTGGTGGCAACCACCAAGAGTAACAAGCGAAATTCGCAGCGAAACACAATCACCAAGTGCCTCTAGATGCAATCACTCAAGCAATGCACTTGGATTCACTCCCAATCTCACTATGATGATGAATCAATGATCTAGATGAGTGGGAGGGCTTTGGCTAAGCTCACAAGTATGCTATGTCAATGAAAATGTGCAAGAGAACTCCCTTGAGCCGGCCATGGGGCTATAAATAGAGCCCCAGTGAAATAGAGCTGTTGTATCCCTTCACTGGGCACAACGCGGGGTGACCGGACGCTCTGGTCCGATCGACCGGACGCTGGCCCTCAGCGTCCGGTCTCGTGATTCACGCCACGTGTCCCCTGCTTCAAATGCTGTTTGTCAGATTTCAACGGTCGCGAAGCTGACCGGACGCTCCGGTAAACCTGACCGGACGCTGAAGCCCCAGCGTCCGGTCGTTTCCATGATGCTCCCGAGGCATGTTTTTCGACCGGACGCGTCGTCCACCTTGACCGGACGCAGACCAGCGTCCGTCCGTGCTCAACTCTACCCCATCGTACATCTCGACCGGACCTTGACCTTTCTTTTTCAGCGGTGTCATTGAAAGTGACTCAAATATTCCGTCCGGTCGATGGTAGCCAAACATCATTTCGACCAACTCCATTTCAACTCTTACTTCTTCACCCTTGCTCAAGTGTGCCAACCACCAAGAATTTTGCATCCGACGCAATAGAAAATAGACATTTCATTTTCCCGAAAGCGCCGAATCCCGCCGAGCAAGCTCGGCGGGAGGGAGAGAGGGACCCAAACCCATCTCAACCCTACAAACACCTTGTGCACATGTGGTAGCATATTTACACAAATATTATCAAGGGTGTTAGCACTCCACTAGATCCTAAATGCATATGCAATGAGTTAGAGCATCTAGTGGCACTTTGATAACCGCATTCCGATATGAGTTTCACCCCTCTTAATAGTACGGCTATCAAACCTAAATGTGATCACACTCTCTAAGTGTCTTGATCACCAAAATAAAATAGCTCCTACAAGTTATACCTTTGCCTTGAGCTTTTTGTTTTTCTCTTTCTTCTCTTCAAGTTTAAGCCCTTGATCATCTCCATGCTATCACCATTGTCATGTTATGATCTTCATTTGCTTCTCTACTTGAAGTGTGCTACCTATCTCATGATCACTTGATGAACTAGGTTAGCACTTAGGGTTTCATCAATTTACCAAAACCAAACTAGAGCTTTCAACATGGAGCCGAAGGATGGCATCTTGAGTGTTCACCGGTTTGATCCATCATTCTTTAATGGTATCCAGGAAACCTGGTCTATGCGCCCAGTGAGACTCAAATCTAAAACCTCTATAAAAATCCAGGCTAACATCCCCTTGTAAAAATAAAGCGCTATGGTCCGAGCCAAGCGAGGCCAACGCTCGGAGGTCGGTAGCAGAAAACAATTCAAGCCAATCCACGGATGCAAAGAAATGGCCAATTCTTGTCATTATTGGAGATTGTTGATCGTTACACCAGGTATACTTCCTTCCCCTTAGATCAATCCTAGCGAGTTCTAGATTGTCTACTGTTGATCTTAATCTGTTGATCATTGGCTGGTTAAGACGTGCGTTGTTTTTCTCTTGCGCATTTACGATTAAGTTGAAGTCTCCCAGCACCAGCCAGGCTGGTAGGCAAAGTGTGCGTAAATCTGCGATCTCTTGGAGAAACAAAAGTTTATCCACATCACTCTGTGGTTCGTAGACCCTGGTTATGGTCCAAGTTTTATTTTCCGCTAGCATCGTTGTCGTTGCCGATACTGTGTGGGCGGTGAGGTGTGGTTGGCTTATGTTGAAAAATCAATCGGATGCAGCAATAAGTATTCCTCCGCTGGCACCCACTTAAGGCAGAAATGCTACGTCGTTCGCCAATTCTGCCCTGATTGTCTCAACTAATAGACTACGTATCCAGGTGCTGATTTTTGTTTACTGTAGACAAATAATTGTAGCACCAGTAGATAATACTTGGTTTCGAACAGATGCGCGCTTAGCCCTGTCGTTCAAACCTCTCACATTCCAACACAGCAGTTACAAGTCTTAGCCGACATAATGAATAATTCTTACTACTTGCTCACGACTGAGAGTGGCCGAGGGCAACAGAGCCAGCAGACCGCAGTTCTCTCCCGAGGTCCAAAGAGCGTAGATGGGGAGGGCCGAAGGCAACATTGCCAGCAGGTCCCAGTTCTCCCTCCAAGTCTTGTTCATACATGTTTTCCACCGAAGGCTCCAGGGCCAGCAGGCGCACAACCAGGATCGCCGAAGGCTCCATGGCCAGCAGGCGCACAACCAATACCGCCAAAGGCACCATGGCCAGCAGGCGTGCAAACAACAGTAACCAAATCTTAAAAAGTTCAGGCCACATTTGGCACTAGCGACTACATGCAGATAACATGGGCGCACCGCCCAAAACCCCCTACCGGCAGGGGCTAACATTGATCATTGACCACTGAAGTCTGGCGCCTAGGCCACTAGTCCTGGTGCCGCGGCAGCCTCACCCTGATTGTCGCACTTCTTCTGGATCAAGGCGCCGTGCTCGATGAGGTCCTGGATGGCGTCCATCGTGGCCTTCTCGACCGGCCTTGCGAAGTGCTGCGCATATAAGTCAAATTCATCAGGGATTGGAGGTTTGTTAGCACCTGTGTTATCAGTACCCGCAAGGTCCCCCAGTTTCTTAATTAGCAAATCTTTTGCTATTTCAATCATCCCCTTTCCGGAGTTGGTGATGGCCTTAGCGTTAAGCGGGAACTTTGTCGTTTGATAGGTGGGCTGTCTCCATGTTTGATTAAATTCTGCCGTGGTCTTAGCGTTAACAAAGGTTGGGGGAGTGGTTTGGAGATGGATTCCAGAAAAGGATCTGTGGGAGCCAGCTGTTGGTTATATGAGGTGCAGTGATCACTTTCATCTCCTACCGGAAGTTCTTGCTCTATGGTTGGGTTTTGCACAGGTGATGACTGATTGACGTTTAGGAATGGCCTAGGTTGTTCTATGATTACAGACTCATCATGCAACTCAGGGGGGGAGGGGGGGGGGCTCACCAGGATGTCCTGAAGGTGTCCGAGTACCATCCCCAGATCGGCCAGTGCGTCCTTGCCTGCCTCCTGCTCTGTAGATGAAATAGGAGTTGTATTAGGCGTTGTAGCTGTGTCTGTACACGCGCAATTAGCAGTAACCTCAAACGCAGAACTATCAGTAGCATTAGGAGTAATATTAGGAGGTGATGTTTCCTCACTTGGAGTGATGCCACAGTAGTCACTGCTTGCGTCCTTGCCCTGCATCCCCTCAGGTTCTGCCATCTCTGCAGAGGTATTATCAGAATTAACAACATGAGGCATTGTTACAGGTTCAGTTACCCTAGTGTCACAGAAATTGATTTGCTCACTCGTGAAGGAGTTGTTGGTAGTGTGGCCATCCTGTCCCCCTTCCTTCTCCTTGTTGCTGCTCAGGGTAGTACTGTTAGCCACTGTATATGAGGAATTCAACATGACACAATCAGCGACCACAGGATCAGTATCATCAATTTGGATTGGAGAGGAGGAAGTACCCTTGGTAAGCATAATGCTGTCATCAGTGATAGAGCGCTTGGGGGGCTTCAACTCAGTTGCAATAGGGTCTGCAAAGGAGACCCTCTTTGCCTTCTCCTTCTTGTGTTCCTTAACCTTCCAGACTTGGGCAGGCGCCTGGTAGGCTCCACCTGACGGCCTATTCCTTTGGGGTGGTGATTCACCCCGACCGCGCCACCTGTTGGAGCTGATGCAGTCCTCAGCGCCTCCCCTGCAGCGAGAGTTCCTTGCCCAGGCGGAGAGGCTGCGGTGATGACGATTGCCATGGTTGCGCCTGCCGTCGTAGTCGTCGTCGTCCCGGCGTGGCCTCATGTCGCGGCCGCGGTCGTGGCCAGCACGCCTCCCGTGGAGGTGCTCCCCCTTTGTGTCCGGCACGGCGTAGTCCCAGTCGAAGACACGGCGAGCCTTGCGGTTTGCAGGTCCCCCAATCCTCCCCGGCTCCTGCAGGAAGGTGAGGTCCTCCACCACCTCCAGATGGTTGCGCAGAATGTAGACTTGACCCCGCTTGATGTCGACCGGCTCGTCATGGTGTGGATGTCCCCTGTCCGGCTCGGTGACCGTGAGCTGGACCTCTGTGGGGATGTCGCACGGGTCACAGCACCAAGCCCAGAGGTCGAAGGACCTAGTGCGCTGCGCCTCCGGGTCGTCTCCTCCAGGTAGTGGACGGCGGTGCAGGTCTTGCCGAGCGCCTTTGCTGCCAGCTCCTCCGCCCAGCAGTGCACCGGGATGCCCTCGATGCGGACCTTGAGGCGGAACTCCCAGTTGACGTTGTTGGCGTAGCGGCGCTCACTCCATGCCGCGAACTGGAAGCGGTGGCCGTTGTTGGGGAGGATGCCCACCTCCACCATGCGCTGTCTGTCCCTTGGGTTGTTGAAGATGACCAGGAACTGCTCGGGGAAGTGCTTATGAATAGATCTAAAAAATAAAATAGATGTAATGCTTATGAATAGTTAGTCTTCCAATCAATGGCTATATGTTTCTGATTAATGTGAGGATTTCTAGAATTTATCTTTTTGCCGAGCATGCCTGTGAGAATGCATTTAATTCTATCTTAATTTGGTAAGGTAGACAAGTAAAATTCTATCTTAATTTTGTCAAGAATGCATTTAATAAACAAGAGTACGTTTTAATCTTAATTTTGTCATGAATGCAAGTAAAATTGTATAAAAATTCTAAATGTGAAGCTAGTAACATTCTTTCCAAATGAAGCTTATAAACTTACAGCTCTCATTTATTTCTGGATTGTAGATTCGCAACAAAAGTTTAGACAAGGAACCTTCCGACATGGAACGTGTCTCAGAACTTTCAGAAAGTATCGTGACCAAGTGTGGTGGGCTTCCAAAAGTAATAACCTCTGTAGCCGAGCACTACAACAGTATGTCCTCAGATAAGCAGACCTACTTGAAGTTGAAGGATATAAATGATAACTTTATGCACATTTTGGAAGGATTGCCAAGTTTAAAGGGACTGTTTTCTTGGATGCAGCATTACTTGGAAACTTGCAAGGACGACCTGAAGCCTTGTATATTCTATCTACCAATTTTTCCTGTAGGCCATAACATTGGATTGACGCGTTTGCTAATGCGATGGATAGCAGAGGGTTACATCAGGGACATATCCAGTCATACCGCCAAGAAGAATATACAAATGCTGTTTATTGAGCTTTGGGAATTCAGCATGTTGCTGGTGCAACAATCAAGCAAGCCGCTCAAATGCCGCGTGAACGGTTTCTTACATGAATACATCAACTCACGACCGATGGAAGATAACCTTGTTTCTGCATTAGAGGGGCCATGCAGCATGCGGTCGCAACGTGCCGGGGGACAGCACCTCACCATTAGGGACAGTTGGGACAGGGACATGAATGTGTTCGGGAGAACTGATTTTTCACGGCTACGGTCTTTAACAGTTTTTGGTGAGTGCAGACCATTCATGTTTGACCCTTCCAAAATAAAGATGAGATACACGTTCGGGTGCTGGATCTGGAGGATGCGCCAGTTTGTGACAAATGATAATCTTAAGCACATTGTGGAGGTGTTTCCTCGGCTCAAGTTCCTCTCCCTACGGGGTTGCAGAGAGATTACCCGTCTGCCAAAGTCACTAGGCAGCCTGAGACAGCTTCAGGCTCTAGATCTTAGAGATACCTCTGTAGCCGCGCTTCCAAAGGCTATCTTGAAGCTACAGAAGCTCGAGTACGTTCGTGCTGGCACCATTCATAGTGCACCGTGGGATGAAGGTGGTATCATGGTCCCATACCAAACAACGAGACCAGAAGAAATTATTAGTACCTCGGTACCAGCACAAGATGGTACAATATTTGCAGCTGCTCCATTGGCACTAGCAGAAGATGCTGCTGCAACAATTGCAGCAGCTCCATCGGCACCTGCAGAAGATGCAACAACAGCTGTAGCAACTCCATTGGCAGCAGCATCAGAAGACATTACTGCAATTGCAACAGCTCCATTGTCACTAGCAGAAGTAGCTACAACAGTTGCAGCAGCTCCATCGGCACCCGAAGAAGACGCTACAACATGTACAACAGCTCCATCGGCACTAGAAGAAGACCCTACAATAGTTGCAGCATATCCAACAACACCAGCACAAGGCGCTACAACAGTTCCAGCAGCTCCATCGGCACCAGCAGAAGATGATGCTACAATAGTTGCAGCAACTCTATCAACACCAGCAGAAGACACTACATCATTGGCAGCGGAGCCAACAGCCCCAGTAGAAGACAGTACAATTGTTGCAGCAGCTAAACATGCTACAGTAATTGCAGTTGCTCGATCAGCACCAACAGAAGATGTTACAACAGTTGCTCGATCAGCACCAACAGAAGATGATACAACAGTTGCTGCAGCTCCACCGGCAGCAGCAGAGGACAGAACAATGGCTGCAACATCCCCATTGGCACCAGTAGAGGACGCCACAACAATTTCACCGGCACAATCACACGACACATCAATGGCTGCAGCAGCACAAGGCACCACAATAGTTCGAGTAGCTCCATCGGTACTAGTAGAAGACACAATAGTTGTAGCAGATCCAACGGCATTAAAAGAAGATGCTGCATTAGTTGCACCAACTCTATCAACATCAGCAGAAGACACTACATCATTGGCAACAGACCCAACGGCCGCAGTAGAAGACAATATAATAGTTGCACCAGTTCCATTGACACTAGCAGAAGACGCTACAATAGTTGCAGTAGCTCGATCAGCACTAACAGAAGATGCTACAAGAGTTGCTGCGGCTCCAACAGCAGTAGCAGAGGACTCATCTATGACTGCAGCTGCAACAAGGAGCAGGCCTCATGCTTTGGTACATAGCTGGCTGTCGAAACTGGGTTGTCGGAGTCAGGGCAGACTTGATAATACTAATTACGGTGTTGAGGTTCCAGCAGGGTTTGGGAAGCTGACAACCTTGATTACTTTTGGGGTTGCTACTGTTGGACATGGAAATAAGTCGGTCATTCTAAAGGAGCTCCATAAGCATACACAACTGAACAGTCTTTCTGTGTGTGGCATAAACCTGGACAACATCCGTCAGTTCTTTTCTACCATCGTGGGGCTCAACAATCTGGGCATTTTGTCAGTGCGACTGTATAAGAACAGGGATGGTCTGTTTCCTTCTCTGGATGACACTATCCCTCCACCACCAAAGACCCTGGGAGAAGGCCTTAAGCTGCAGGGGCATGTACGCATACTCCAAAGCAGCTGGATCAAGGAGTTTGCTAACGTCGAAACATTGGACCTTGAGGTAACATTACAAGAACAAGATGACATGCAAGTCATCCTAGATCATTTAATACATCGCACCAAGGGGTCCATGAAACGTCTCTGTATCAAGCCAATTCAAGATGGTGAGCTCCGTATAGGCATTAATGATGAGTGCAAGTTAGCTGGGCTCAAACTTGACGTCCTCGAAATTGTTTGCACCACCAACTTACAGGCAACTATCGGAAATATAGGACGTGTTGAAGTGCTGAGGGTTGAGTGCTCTAGTGGGTCCTCATTGCAACTTTCTGGGCTGCAAGGGATTCCATCCCTGGAGGAAGTGTGGCTTAAGGGCTCCTGCAGCGACGCACTCAAAGAAGACTTGCAGGGCCAACTTGATCATCGTCAAGATAAAGATAAACCTGTCCTGAAGCTCCTTCAGTCACGCTCGTCCTGATATGATATCAGTGTCCCCAATCAGGAGGCCACTCAATGTCTTCCATCCAAAAAACAGAAGTGTTGGCTTGGTGCTTTAATTTGTGGGTTTCTTTCTACAGATATCCTTAGATTGGTCCGTTTGTTGCTCTGCATGAGTATTAATAATCTATCTACTCTGTTAGCAGTTTGAGAAGTTAAACTCTTAGTGTCTATTACTATTATATCTACGTATACTTAAATAAAAACAATGCCTTGCATACCTATGTATGGTATGAACAAGCATCCTAGTACATGGGTTCAGATCCCGCTATCCACTTAACGAGATACTATTCGTGATGACTGCCTTGAACCATAGTTATCGCGGAGTCCACAAATAGAATTACCCTTGTATTCATCTTTCCTGTCCATTTCTTCAGTAGAAGAAGATCATCACCTGTCTTTCTTTATTTTTCCTTTACTTATTTCTGTCCTTGTCCTGTGACTCCGTGAGTCGTTTGATTTCTGAACACATACTGGCATTTGTGAAATTAGTTTTCTCCAGGATTAAATTGAAGCTTTACGAGTGGTGTTTTAGAAAATCCAGATTGTGTGTCTCGGTAAGAATCAGCTGCAGGCCCAGTGTGCTTCTGCACTTCACAGAACAGAGTACAGGAGTGGCAGGGCCGAAAAATGTCACACTGAGCCGAGCAAAAGCCAGTCGCATCACTGTTGTCAGCTCTGTTTGGTCATAAGCAGAGTATATGCCATTGGATGTGCACTGGCCTTATTTTGTTTCTGTTCACACTCATGATTGTCCCAAAGTAGAGTGCTATGATAGTGGATCATCTGATGAAGATTGAAGCCTGATGATGAGGTGCTGATGATTTTATTCAACGGGCAAGCATGGAGTGGGATCGCTTGGCCGCTCGGCATATTAATCACTAACTGGCGCCGGTATTGAGCAAGAACATATCTTCATGAGATTGCATACGTGGCTTGCTAGTATATTCTGGAGATATGGTGGACTAGTTTAATTGGAAGGTTGAAGCAACGTGCCTTGCCATGCATCCTAATCCTAATTGTTTCGGTCAGCAAAAGCAAATGAAAGGAGAAAGGAGTAAGAGTCCAGGTGTACCCCGATTTAGTGGCGTTCATGTATGGAGAAGCGAGAGCCCAAGATGGAAGGGAACATGCACGTACGTAGGAAGGATGTGTGCATACCTATTTGCTTCATATTGGCTTTATTTGCTTGATTAGGCTTGTATATTACGTAATCCAGGATTGGCATCAGCATAGGAGCCCAATATGTGTACGACAATGTAGCCCAGCATGTATTTGGACAATCGGAAGACCAGCCGCCCAATAATTATAAATGGTGACGGCCGATTGAATCACCCACGATCGACATATCAATAAAACATCTATCTTTTATCTCACTTTTCTAATCTATTATTGCTTTTCGTTTTTCGTTGCTGCTAATGGCTATTGGTTCAACGACGACGAAGTTCTAGAGCGGTCAGGCTGGCTAGAGCAGCCCATAGCCGCCACACGCCTGACAGGGTCCCTCTTGGGCGTGTGGGGCTTCGGGTACTAGGAGACCTCATTGGCTTTCTTGCATATCACGCTTCCAGCGAGGCTCCTCCGGTGACGTGTCTTGCGTATCATGCTCATCGCTGGAGGCACATGGTCTGGGTGCGGACATCCCCTAGGCGTCG